TGAAGGTCACATTACAGCTGTATCTATTGTTTTTGATACTTCTTAAATGCTTTTTGTGTATAAATTTTTTTATTTTTTGTACAGTGTAATTACACAAATAATACTAATGTTAATTAGCATGCACTCACTATAGGGTTATGGTTTGGTTTAGGGTTTGTTGCTTGTAATTCTGCTTATTTGACTGTTATTGCTAAAGTAAATACATATATTTATATATTTATGTAATTAATTCCATTATAAAATATTATATAATTCTGTTTACTATTTTTTAAATATTGTTTTAAATTATGTAAATCTAAACAAATACTCGCTATTACTATAGTAAGTACATGTTCAATATGTATTATATGTATTAATTATGTTATAAAAATATTTTAGAATTTTTTTTACTTGTTTTATATTTTTAAAACTATGTAAATCTTAATGAAATGTGAAATATTTAGAATCTATTTTAATATTTATTCTGTGAATATTATACATTTTTGAATGCAATTGTAACATCAATTCTGCCACAACCAACAAATTTTCCATTATATATTCGGTGTACTTGGTTACCAAGGCAACAAAGACCATGCAGCCTAATATGTGAGATGTGTTAAGAAAAAAGAAAAAGAAAAATCAAGGTAAATTAATTAAGTTTTATATTTTTATCCAACACAATACATAATTTGTGAATTGATGCAAATGTTTATGATGTTTTAGTAAGGCTGGACAATAATTCAAAATGTCAATATGTATCAATATATCAATATAAAATCTATATGTATCGCAATATAATTTTTTTCAATAACGGGGATATGATTTTTAAACACATTTCCGATATTTCGATATACAGTACATTACCAGTGTTTCCCATACATTGATTTATTTGTGCCGTTGATTTCAGAATGATTTCTGAAGGATCATGTGACTGGAGTAATGATGCTAAAAATACAGCTTTGAAATCACAGGAATAAATTACATTTTAAAATATTTTCAAATAGAAAACTATAATAGTAAAAATATTTCAAAATGTTACTGTTTTTGCTGTATTTTGGATCAAATAAATGCAGGCTTGGTGAGCAGAAGAGGATTCTTTAAAAACATGAAAAATCTTACTGTTCAAAAACTTTTGACTGGTAGTGTATGTTAGCCTATAGTTTGAAGTTAAAGATATTCATATTACGGTAATTAGGTGTGTCTGAGATGATTATTTGACAGTGATTTCACATTTCTTGTTTGTATGAAGGCTAATTACAAATAAAAGGTGAACATTAATTTATTTGTGCTGTTTTTTTCTCTAAAATATTATATGGTTTTATATGAGGTGTCAGAGACTTGGCATATTCATTTTTCATAAGTTTGTTTGCACAGACATCTATTTTGGGTGTTCTTGGCAGTTTTTATGAGGCTTTTTTTAATAGTGTTCATATCGATATCGGAATTATATCGTATCGACCGAAATTAAGAAATATATTGTGATATAAATTTTGGCCATATCGTCCAGCCCTACGTTTTAGAAAAATGACTGAATTCTCCTGTGATGTGAATGTCTACTGTTGGAAATTGTTAGTGGACAAATGAAACTACTGAGTGCAGAAAGTATGTTTTTTTCCCTAAAAAAAAGTCCACAGGGCTGAAAGTAGCTGTAGTTGAGTCATCAGTCTACCAAATTACTCACTGAAGTCATCATAGCGGTTACTGGATGAACATCTGTAGCATAAAAGTGCTGCAGTAATAACCACTAAACCATGGGTCAAACAAAAAGCAATACTTCTGACAGTAGTTTCTCAGAGCAACTGTTTGCTGTGAGTGTGTGAATGAGTCAGTGAGTGTGAGTGTGTCCATGCTGCGTCCATCTCTGCCAAACTGACAAAGTGACTCCAGCCACTCTCCTTCGGCAAGCTGCTGCAGTACATGCTGAACAAAACACACCAATCTCCACAAGCGGCCAGCTCTCCCTCCCGCGCATTCTCCATCCGTACCGCACCACCTAATGCTGCCCACGTCTCGGACCACGTGCCGGTGCCCAGGCTGCGCTGTAGCGGCTGTGGGCGCTCGTGCCCAGGCGAGCTGGTGCCGCTTGGAGTGCCCGGCGTGTGCTGGAACACGACAGCCCGCTGGTCCCAGGGCACCCATCACATGCCCATCTTTAAGCCATCTGCAAAGTAGAGCGGTTCCCGCCAAAGCATTAAATTAAATCCTTGTTTGGGCTGATTAACAAATGGCCTTGTTTTTTTGTGTTCCGTGGGCTTGTTTTTTCCTCCTGTCCTGCTGAAGCTCCATCACGTCGGAACGAGCGTGGCAGAGGCAGTGAGCCTTCGGGAAGTCTCAGGAGTGGCTTAGATGTTTTGGGGGGAAGTTTGCTCAGGATCGCGTCTGTCTCGAAAGCGGCCCGTCCAATTCTCCGTCCCACAGCCATCAGGCTGTCACAGACCACAGACAAATGAACAATTAATCTGGGCTTGTAATTGAATGGCACCCGGTATGATATTTTAATTGTTCAATTGGAGCTGTTTGGATCTCAGAACTTAATTGGAATGGGGTGATAGGGACTTTGGATGTCCTGTTGCATATTTGCTGGCAATTGCTCAGGTATTACCTGCAAGCTTGTTAGTCAGAAAATTTGTATCGCTGTGCAATTTCTTAGGCATAAGATTCGCCAATCTGAACTCCACATCTAAAGGTGTTCATCACCCTGGTGCTCGGTAATAATGCTAACCAAATACGACTGTTCACTTTGACCAAACGCTCTGGAAACTTGATGGTAGAAGCATCACTGGCGCCTGCCAGACCAACTGTCCGCCTACTGTTTTGGATCTAAAGAAACAAATTTCACGATTGAGAAGCCAGTAAAAATGGTTTGATGAAACCGCACTGGCTGGGTTCGAGCGACATTTGCTTTTAGTCACGCAGCCCCTTCTGTTCAACCCCTGGCTCTGTCAGCCGCACAGTGAATGTACTGTACGCTGGTTAACAAGACATCATGGCAGATCCAGGATCAGATCGTTGATTAAACTCTTTGCTTTGCGTTTGTCCATAACTGATCCACCAATAACAAGTATAATGTTGTGTGTGAAAAAAAAGTGAACCCCTTTATTATATTATATTATAGTATTATTATTTTAATTTTATATTATTATAATGTCAGAAAAAGAAAATTAGAGACAGTTGAGAGGGGAAATTGAATCAGGGAAATTGACAGTTGATTCTACATTTGCCATTTGAGCACCACAGCATGCCTGGCCAGTTTTTTATAAGTCATAGAAATAAAGCTGCTTTGAAAAATCAACAAGCCCTCTTACTAAAGTTTTATCTTTAGAGAAAATACCTTGGTCAATGATAGACGGTCGTCATAGCGATCATGCATAAATGTATCTATGTGTCGACTCACAGCCCACTTTTATCCTTCTACCCTTTTCCTTTCTTTTTTGTACCTTTTGATTGGAAGGTGGATGCCTCTGTTCAGCTGTTCCCTCTTCCTCATTGAGGCATACCGGCGAAGACCTCCATCTCCTCAAATTAACATGAGCAGGTGTTTTTCTCTGATGTGTTAATTAGGAGAAGCTGGTGTCATTATGCTTTAAGTGGATGTTACAAATAGAACATGTTGTTTATTTTCTCTTCTGCTGAAAAAAAGTGATCAGAGCTGTCACGAGGCTCATGTGTCACTTAGAGAAGATCGTGGCTAATTACCAGGTGTTTAGAATCAGAAAGTACATGACTGTGGATTCTCCTGTGTCTGTTCTTGAACGAATACCAGATTATCTATCTTAATAAATATGATTTAAACAGTTGAATCCTGAGGTTAGATTCAGCATATTTTATTGAATGATTGTGTAGCATTATGGCTTAAACAATGACAAAAAAAGGATATGTTTGTGTTTTGTTTTGATATCCCTCAATTTATTTTTACAAACTTTTAAAATATTTTTTAATTAGCTTTTTGCCATTTTTCTCTCTTTTCTCATTTACTCTCCTTTTTAATGAACAACTTAAACTTTGCACCTCGCACAAAGTTATTGTATAGCTTCAGAATGCTTGAAATATAGCATACATGTTGGACTGCTTTTAGTGATAGTTTTGGATGACACAAGGAACAAAACAATTATCTTCTCATCTTGAGGTATAAATTCACTACATGCTATGAAATGTCCTTGTTTCCCTTGTGTTTACCACATGTTGTGATTGACAAGCAACAGACAAAATGCAATGTATTCGTATTCAGAAAACGCACAATCAAACTTTTCATTGTTCACTATACAGAATTGCAAATGAACAAGTGTGTTTGGTTTCAGCATCCAGCATGCATCACTCAGCAGGCAGATGTTGTGTGCATTATCACTCTTGAAGCCTGTTACTAGACTCTGTGTGCATGCGGCTTTGCCCCCCGTGTGGTGATGCTGACACCCTTGTAATCCTGCTGTTTACGATTAGATGGCACAGGCTGTTGCACCAGAAGTTTTGCATGATAATATGGCATGACCAGCTGCTCAGCAGATGTTGTTTTTTGCGACTTTAGCATAGAAAGGTTAAAGGTGTCTCTGCTGCCCCTTGTGAGGATTCTCTGACCTCCTCTGTGGTGCGTTTCCGCACGCATTTTACTGTAAGCCGACTTGGTGTCACCAGCCCTGGTTTGTGTTGTTCTAACACCTGCCCTCGGGTTTAGGCAGATAATGCAGTAGCTGACAGCTGGACTAGCAGTGGTAAACATGTTAACATTTTAATCCTGTGTTTAGTCATTTGCAAAGTCAAAATTAAGTAAATTCAACAGATAAGCACCATCTAATCGTGTTCATTCTGTGTTTGGGATATTAATCTTGTGAATTTGATGCATGCACCCACGAAACAATGAGGGTTTTTAATGAAAACGGGGTCATTTGTTTTCCCGTAGTTCTATGTAAAAGAAAAAGTTGTGAATGGGAGGTTGTGTTTTTAGTGTGCATGTATTTGCACAAGCAGTTTGAGGTCATGTGTTTTATTACTTTGCCATTTAAATATAGATTTCTTCTTTTCCCCAGGTGAATATATTAAGAATTGGAGACCTCGCTACTTCCTGCTAAAAACCGATGGGTCTTTTATCGGATACAAGGAGAAGCCACAGGATGCAGATCTTCCCTACCCTCTCAATAACTTCTCTGTTGCAAGTAAGTGATGCCTTCAAAGCAAGACAAGTAAAGTTTTGTACATACTTTTTTTCTTTTGTGAGCTCAGTCTCCATGAATTAACTCAAGAGTGGATTCAATGATCTGTATTGAATCCAAAATGTCCATATGCTAATTTGACAGCTAACATTGCTAGCACAAATTAGCACTATGTGATTTTGAATTGTCTACTGTAGGGATAATTTCATATTTTATATTTTTCATCAACTCGAATTTTATAATGCTAGTCGTAATTTTAATTTATCTCTGCCCATTAGAATAAAACAGACTATATTTGCTAATGTCCCTTTAAATTACGAACATGTAAAATAACCTTTGTTATGATGCAAAGTTTGTGGTACATTTTTAAAGGCTCACAAAACAAGTTCAGAAATGTACCACTCAAACTGTTAAGGCAAATCTGAAATGATCAAGGATCACTGAAAATAAACTTCAGCCACTCTTTTCTATTGCCGAAATCTTTCCAGATGTGCAAAAATTTGATTAATTTAGCCTAAATTCAATTTCACCAAAAAATTCAAAAGTATATCCAAGTTTTTAAAATGATTTTAGTGGAATAAAATCATCAAAAGCAGTGACTTATTTTCTCTGGAACACAACTCAACCTCAAGCGCGTGGCTTTTAGCGCTGGTTTATGGACACGTGCTGCGAGCAGCTCCCCAACCCTCCATCCGTCAAAAGGCCCAGCCAGGTTTTAATCTAAAGGCTGGAGGAGCGAGGGGTGGCCATACATCCGGCCTGGGCCGCTTGGCAGTGGAAGAGGATTGCCACATCTGTTGCAGAAAGCTGGGAGGCCAGGTGGTGCTGGGAGGCTGATAGCCTAATGCTCTCTCTGAAATGGCATCGCTCTCACCCCCTGTGCAACGAGCTGCCACCAGACTGCCTTCCTCCGGACCGCTCTCTCAGAGTCCTGTACACAGCCTGACCAGCCCTGCATCTGCTCCCTAGTATACCACAGTCCATATTGACCAATTTGTCTTTTTTAACAATGATTGCAGCATATGACAAAACGCTTTGCACGGTGAGATCCACCAATTTTTTCCATTTAGATCTTTCACCACCGCTGCCTTATAAGTACAGCTGGATTTAAAAAAATAAAGTATATGTAAATGACATATGTTTATATAAATGTATATGTATATAAAGATTTCTATTTCAAGTAAATTCTTTTTTTTTTTTTACTTTCCACTCATCAAGGAATCCTGAATAATTTCTTAAGCAGCAAATCAGCATCTTAGAATGATTTCTGAAGGATCATGTGACATTGAAGACTGGAGTAATGGCTGCTGAAAATTCAGCTTTTCTATCACAAGAATAAATTACATTTTAAAATGTATTAACATAGAAAACAGGTGTTTTAAATTGTAACAATATTTCACAATATTACTGTTTATCCTGTGTTTTGTCTTAGTGAGCATAAGAGACTTCTTTCAAAATAAACTGACCACAAACTTTTGAACAGTAGTATTCAAGTGTTAGGAAAATATGAAACTTTTGTTCAAAATGGTATGAAAGTTTTTGAAAACCAACTTGAATACAAAGAGTTCATTTCTAAGTACTTTACACATTTTTTAAAAAAATATTTGGAAACTTTGTTTTTTAACCCTCTTAGCTTTTTCATTCAAAGCCAGTTCTCGCTAACATTTACAGAGCTGAATACCATGTTTTGTCTCCTGATGTTTTTGTGCATTGGCACCCTCTCAACCTTATTTTGGGCTTGTGAAAACCTTTAAGTGATGTTGCATGTTGCAAGCAGCGGAAGTCACAGCTTCTGGGCTGTTTAATTGGCATGCTAGCTTTCCTTAGCGACTCTTGCTTGAAGCAATGCTCGTCATCTGTGATCTAATGTGGCAAAGCAAACAATACTGTCAGCTCTGCCTCCTCTCCTCCTGAGGTGTCACATTCTGGCTGCTGTGACCTTGTTTTTCTGCACTCAGCGTGGGACTCGATTTTCCCCCTACTGCCCAGGTAGTGGTTCTGTTCAGTGCATGGCTTCGTGACCTTAGCAGTGTCATCATTAACCTTCCTGTCTAAATTTAGGCCCTGCCGTCATTCAGAGGTGGCTGAAATTGGCCGACTGAGGGCCCTCATTATGGGACTGCTGTTGCGTTTCACCTGTCATCTGGGCATTGTCCCCAAAATCTGCAGCGGCGATGAGCCCAGTCTGAACGTCACCTCTGCCCCCTGCTACTTTCATAAAGTATCTGAGAAATGCATTACTTCCCTCTGACTGGCCAGTGGCTGATGTGGCAGAGCTAAGCGCTGTATATGAAATGTTGCACCATTCCAGCAAATGTACCTCTCGCTCGTTCATCTCACCATGGCACTCTCCCACCTGCTGCCTCCTCTCTGCTAATGGCCATTTGTTTTACATTGGACTCGCTGATCCACTCTGTTATCAAATAAAACACTCTGAAAATGGCAAACACTTGCAGCCTGAGAGTTAGAAAGTGGGCTGGGTTTACTTTAGTATTCAGGTCAGATTTCTCCCTGCCTGTATATTTGTGTCTGCGTTCTTAGTTTTTGTTTTTTTTCATTGTGTACATTACATTTAATGTGGCTACTATTTCCTTTGGTCTGTCATTCCAGAATGCCAGCTGATGAAAACTGAACGACCAAAGCCGAACACTTTTATTATTAGATGTCTACAGTGGACTACAGTCATAGAGAGGACCTTCCACGTGGACACACTAGAAGAGAGGTGAGTCTCTAATGTAGAAAACACAACTATTCAGAGCATCATTATATGCCCATTCCAACAACAATGTACAGTTGGCAACCTTTCTAATGTTATATAGTTGCTACAAGTAAACAAAACTGTTTATTTGGCCACCACCTCGTACAAAAATTACAAAAAACTCTACTACTTTACTTACTCATTTTAATTTAAATCATTAATAATGACCAGAGTAGAAAACAATATATACATTAGTAATTGCTTTGCTGATAATGTAGTGATTACATTTATATATTTAGCAGATGCTTTAAGCAATTCATCACAGATATATCACAGTGTACAATGCCAGGTTTATTAAAAAGCTAGATTAGGAAAATAAGCAGAGGTGAAATGCAGAAAAGAAGAAGAGGAATTTGTGAAGAGTGTTTATGTGTTTTGTGTACATACTTAACCACATTTTTATGACAAATTTTTTTTTATTTTAAAAACAAACAAGCAAGCCCTGTCCAGATTTAAAAAGTAACGCAAAAGTAATGTAACGCATTACTTTCCATAAAAAGTAACTAAGTAATGTAATTAGTTACTTTTTTATGGAGTAACGCAATATTGTAATGCATTACTTTTAAAAGTAACTTTCCCCAACACTGCAAATTTGTACCAAAAAGTGAGCTAAACCTGACAAAATGTTCTTTTGGGAACTCCTCATTTGTAAAAAAAAAAAAAATAAATAAAAATAAAAAAAAAGGTCTTAAAATAGACTAAATAAATACATTTTCTGTTTTCTGTAATGCTGCGTGTGTTATGGTTAGGTTAGCTAAGTAAACATGTTTGGTTTAAAGTTGTGGAGTGGTTAAGTGCTTGCGGAAGAGGTAGTGAAGCTTAAATAAATGGGTGAATGGGTGATGGTTTACTGACCCCATTCTGGTTCTGGAGCCTTAAGTCCTTTCTTCAATTTGAAGTTTCTGTGATTTTCTTTGGACCGTATCTGTATACACATTTCCTTGACAAGCTACAAGATTTGATTTTGTGAATTTACCCTACATATGAGCAATAGTAATAGTGATGCTCGCCTTTAGCAAACACAGATATTAATTTTCCCATCAGCGAGAGAAAAGGCAACCCAAAAAGTTGTTTTACCAAAACACTGGCTCACATTATGAGCTGATCCTCTTTTAGATGTCAGTTCTTTTTAAATCTATAGACAACAAAGCATGTCCCATAAGAATGTAAGTGACAATGAACTGTCAGAAAGACAGAAAAACATCACATACATGCATTATTTGCATGTATAGAAGAACCAGAATCATTAGAAAATTTGACAGCCAGACAGTGTCCACTTAAGTTGAACTGTATATTATTTATAATCTGCATTAGTTTTCAATTATTCAGTTGGCTGACAAATATGCTATTTTTTCTTGATTTGAAGTGTAAAAAACAATAACTTTTAGGAGGTTTAGGATTTTCTTTTCAAAAAGTAAACCTATTTTGTTTTGATTTTGATAATGTACCATTCAATTCTGATAACTAGGATTTGTTTTCTCCCCTGTCCAAGAATCTGAGAAATATTTTCCTGTTATTGTTGTCCGTATCTTTTTGGGGTCACTGAATAATGGTTGAGCAGACCATATAACAGCGTTTGAAAGAGACTGAGAGAACATCACACAAAAGATATGAACAGACACTGAGCCGTTTATTCTCGTACTCCTAACTTGCTTGTTTATCTATCACAGAGCATTGCAGTCCAATGCACACTTTGTCCCCCCACACACACAGAGCTCTGAACAGGAGTGGGACACGGCGTACTGGCAGAGGCCCAGAAACTGCGAGCCTACATGTGAGGAGGAGAGATGTGGCGACAGCTGGCATAATGCCAGACTGTATTCAAAGCCTTTATCTCTCATTAGCAAAAACCGCTCATTATACACCAAACCACTCCACACACATTCATCCACACGACCTTGAGAGGTTGCGCAGGGCACTTTGTATATGTTACTGTGTTAACCCAATGGATCTTGAATTTGCTTTGGGATTTCAAATGCACCACATCTGGAATGTAACATCCGCCATAGGGTTTGTAGCTTCCACTGAAAAAAAGAGCCAGAATGGAAATCCATACATTATGTTGGAGATAATAAATATTTCCATCTCTTATTCTTTTTGAGGGTTCTTCACTAACAAATGGCAATGCACAAGAGTGCAAGTTTTCAAACTCTGCCTGGTAGGATTGGATCAATACCAACATTTTTGCTTTGGTTTCGGAAGGCCCACCTTCCGAAAAAAGAAATGTGTTGTGATTGGTTAGTTGTCCCAGTGCGTTGTGATTGGCGAACAGCTTAGACGGTGTTTCAGTACTGCCCCGCCCCTTGCCAAAGCAGCAAGTTCCGTCTGCTCTGGTTTAGTTAAGGATGGCGTCAATATTGCCATATCAATTTGAGCCGGATTCAGACCCCGAGAATATTAAACAAGAGGATCACGCAGAACCTTTGCACGCTTGGATATTGCAAGACATATTAGAGTGGTAACGTTCTTGTTGTTTTTTTTGGCTAAATCACGTTTTAGATATGATGTCAACAACCGCTTAAACATAAGTGCATTTACTATGTACAGATAAGTGCAACGGTAATATGTATTATGTTTATTGTTCTTTAATTCTAACATTATAACATGAATTGCAGTGAAACTGTTATACAGTTGAATTTATTTATACCATAGTCCACTCTTAATTGAAGTGTAAATTCTGCAGATTACATCATTGTCCAGTATTGTACTGTCAGCAATTTATGGGGAAAAAAAAAAACACGGTGAAATGGTGAAAACTTGACGCTACAGCAGCTCTTCTTCTTCTTCGTTTTCTCTGATGCTCTAACTTTGGAATGTGGTGCAACTCTGATGCACTCACTCAACCAAGCGTTCTAACCATGACCTCGCCCCTCCCCACCCCCCAACCATTCGAATTTCCGTAGGCGGGAATTATTTTAATGATATTCTAATGGACCGCTTTGTGACATCACAATACCCCGGAAAACAACGCTGTAGTCCAAACCGTTAGTTGTAGTTCTTGAAAAGGGATTTTTAAAAAAAACGAAATATCTCCCTTTGGAGTGGACTTTGAGATTTGTAACTTTCTAGATCTTTATTATGCCCAAACATACACACTACACACTGACTAAAATTCAAAAAGTGAAAAGCATAATAGGACCCCTTTAAAACATGTAATTTTGGATGACACGTAATGCATGTGAACTTCACTGTAAGAAGCAGTTGCAACAGAAAAATTATTTATTATTAATAATAATTGTAATAAATAATTGTTCCACCAAGTAATATAGTTCAAATCACACAATGACCAATGTACCATTCAGCACATTTGTTATGACTTTATTTATTCCACCTAGTAGCATACATTGCTGTTCAAACATTTGGGGTCGGTATGATTTCTTCATGTTTTTAAAGTAGTTATGCTCACCAAGGCTGCATTCAAATGATCACAAACACAGTAAATTCAGCAGCCATTACTCCAGTCTTCAGTGTCTCATGATCTTTCAGAAATCATTCTAATATGCTGAGTTGCTGCTCAAGAAACATTTATTATTATTATCACTTTTTAAAACTTAATGCAAGCTTGCTGAATAAAAAGTATGAATTTTTAAATATCTTACTGATTAACTTTTGAACATGATGTATGCATGTATATATGTACATATCAGTTTTCATTCAGAATTCTTGCAATTCTTGCAAATTCCTCTAATACTCTTCTAAAACCATCAAAATAGACCAGCATAGCTAGACTGGGCAGGCTAGGAGATGTTGTTTAAGCCGGGTACCAAAATTTGATCAATTATGATATTATTATATACCACTGTATACTTGTAGTACTGTGCTATACCACATAGCCCTACTCTCCACTTCTGTGAAATAGTGAGAAACAGCTAGCTTCGCTCAGATGAATCCATCATTATTAAACTAACACTCGAAAACATGAATGCACCACTGATTCTTCACAACAGATGTTGTGCTGCACGACAAATGAAAACTCAATGGAGGGAGACACTATTCGCAGAGAGGGGCGGCTTCCCCACTCATGTTAGATTATACCGTCACCTAGTGAGAACGGCCTTGTGAATTACTCGGATGGTCTGGCCTGGTGTCTTCAACAAAGTAAAAAGGGAACATTCACATTTCAGTTTACATTTATAAGTGAACCATGTATTCGTTTAGTGTGTCTCAAGTGTATTCTTGAAGTATGAATAGTTGAAATAGTTGAAAAGTGTTTTTTTGTTTTAATAAATGGCTTTGTGTGTGTTTCCAAAGGGATGAGTGGGCAGAGGCGATCCAGATGGTGGCAGATAAACTCCAAAAACAGGAAGAGGAACGTATCCAGTGTAGTCCCACCTCACAGATAGACAACATGGGAGAGGAGGAGATGGACACATCTATCAGCCATCACAAACGCAAGGTGCCTTCAAATACAGATTTTGATGTTTGCTGCAGACATCATAAGCCTGGGACATTATGAAGCTGAATGGCACAAATCAGCAAATAGTTCAAGGAATTAAAAGAATAGTTCATTTAAAAAACTGGCTAAACATTTACTCACCCTCAGGCCATCCAAGATGTAGAGTTTGTTTGCTTATTGGAACAGCTTTGCAGAAATGTAGCATTACGACACTTGGATGGATCCTCTGCAGTGAATGGGTGCCGTCAGAATGAGAGTGCAAACAGCTGATAAAAATATCACAATAATCCACAAGTAATCCACATGACTCCAGTCCATCAATTAATGTCTTATGTGTTTTTAATGAACACATCCATCAGGGCGATTTAACTTACGTTGCAGCCCTGCAGATTCAGGATACAGTATATGAAACAGACCATATGACTCAATTGCACAAAATTAGGAAACTCTCCCGATAATGTCTTTTAAGGCAGTGTATTTCTGGGAGTTTCATCATTTTTAAACAACAAGCTAATGTACAAACATGTCAGTGTGTTGGTGGCAGTGAAGTCTCTAAGCAGCAGGATTACATCCCTGCAGCAGAGATGTGAGATGTGGACGTATTCTGATTGAGTTACATAGACCCCAATTATATGCTCTGCATTTCAGTAAGTCTGACAATTTATTGCTTTTTTCTTTTTTTGCAGACAATGAGTGACTTTGACTACTTAAAATTATTGGGAAAAGGCACTTTTGGAAAAGTCATTCTCGTAAGGGAGAAGGCCAGCGGGAAATATTATGCAATGAAAATTTTAAAGAAAGAGGTTATTATAGCAAAGGTAAGAATCATGAGGAATATTTTTTTGAATAAATTTGAAGATGAGAAATTAGATTTGATTAAGAATAAGGCATTTTGTGCTGTATGTTATTTATCTAGGTTTAGATAACAGAGTTATGGTTAATGGCAATTTAACGTAGTTATAAAAGTGTAATTTTAAGCCCATGCTTTTTTGAGAAGCTTTGTAATTAAATCCTCAGTAAATCCATGACTTCACTGTGCACATGCACTGTAAGCAAACACGGTTCATCTTGAGAAAACACAATTCATGATCCAGCTTCTCTTTCTTCCCGTAGGACGAAGTGGCCCACACGCTTACAGAAAGCAGAGTACTAAAAAACACGAGGCATCCTTTTTTAACTGTGAGTGCACATTTTATAATGAACTATCATTCAGAGTGCATTTACAGAGACCTTAAAGCTCCTAGTGCTTTTGAATATATGAATCGCTTTTCCCTGGAGCCTCATTATAATGTAGAGAATAAACTAATAAATTAGCGGCCTAAATGTAGCTATGTGTCTGTTGAGAAGTCGCCAGTGAGAGGTAATTTTCTGACACTCCAGATGCTGTTGTATGCCACGCAACATACACAGCCGATTTAGCAAAACTATTTACCACTGTCAGTCAAGCTGGTGTTCCCTCGTAAACTTCACCTTCGCTCAAAGTTAGCATCAAGGCCTGCGAGAAAGAGTCAATCTTTTCAAAATGCTTCTTTCATTTTCTCTTGAGACAAACGTTTCTCTCATCACATACATTTTGATGAGCGTCTCACGTTGTGTTTGTTTTAGTTTTGTGGGGTTTTGTTTTTCCTCTAATGGTGTATCCACCTGCTGTTTCAGTCTTTGAAGTACTCGTTCCAAACAAAAGACCGCCTATGCTTCGTGATGGAGTATGTCAATGGAGGAGAGGTACGTGTGTGTCTGCATTTGTATTTTATGTCTGTCTTTTGTCTGTGTTGACAGACAGTCTATTGCTGTAGTAATGTCATCACTAATAGCTGTTTACTGACTGTGAGGCTGTGCTGAGCTAAAAATGTTAATCTGTTATCAGAGAAAAGTTAAGTGCAAGATCATATCTTGTGATGCATCCACAGTTTAAAGAGACTTTCTCTTATCCTTTGGGAAAAATTTAACAAGTAGCAAAATGATCATCCAATATTATTAACAGCAGATAATAATTATACTTTAGTGTCTAATAACTGATATTCAGAACCAATTTTTTTAATTGTGTTTAAAAATAATAAAATAATAATAATTACTATTTCTCACATAATTTTATAGTTATATTGCAATCTAAATGTTTAGAAATGTATTATTTTATGCACATTTGTTTTGCAACCTACTGTAAATGGATAAAAACTAAATTAATATTAAATCAATAGCAACACATATATTTTTATTTATTCCATTATTTTATGCAATACTTTATATTATTGTTTTGCGATCTAAATGGTTAGACATGTATTATAATTATTTTATGCACATTTGTTTTGCTACCTAAGTGGATAAAAAATGTAAAATGACTATTAAAACAATAGCAACAAATATTTGGACTAGGTGTAACTTAAATTTCACTTGAAAATTATTGGCTGTTACATAAAAGTTGAGGAATTATGCAAACAAGATATAAGGTTTTTACCTGTGAACACAGTTTGTTGTTGATTGTAGTAGGTCTTACCAAATGGTGCCATTTATCAGCAGACTCGATATTAAACAACCAATTGCTTGTAGAAAAGTGTGAATATTGTTTAAAAAATGTCAGTCAAACTGATATAAATAGTCAAAATGATTGTAGTAGTGTTGTACGTTTAGTCCAGTGCTTGTAGTTGCTCAGGATGTGCTTGGTAGAAGTTTGACAGTGTCACTCTATTGATATGGCAGAGCACAGGATTCCATCTTGAGTTTTGATAAAGGAAATTCCACCACCAACGGTGCTGTTTAATCAGAGAGGTGGCAATCTTGCTCTCATTCCCTCAGCCTGCAATGTCACCTGCTCCCACTGCCTGGACCAGCCAGAGCTTCTAACCTCCACATGCTGCGCAGAGCCCATCAGTCTCTCCCCTTTCAGCTTCGCCACATTCACAGCTGCCAGTGCTCTGATGAAGGCACACCTGTCCTCAGCCACCCTGGTCCCCGGCACGCCCCCCGCTTACCCCCTCCTCCGGCTGATCAACGGAGCCGTTGGCTCTCCCCGGACAGCCATATTCAAACATCCCATAGCAATTAATAGACAGACTCTTCTCATTGGGCTTCTGGGTAATTTCTATAAGCCAGGTTCAAGTGGAGCCGAGGGCCAGACAGTTGACAAAAACCCTTGACATCTGACTCGGGAGGGAAGAGGAAGTGCGGGGCACTCCATAAAAGATACGGCAGAGATGATTGCAGGGGACAGGGCGCTCCTGCCTCTTTAATGGAGCGTTAGCCCATGAGCACGCAGTGCTGCCTTTAACAAGATTGGTGTATTGATTAAAATGCTGATTTAACAGGCCGCGCCGGCCTGTCTCTGGAAAGCCGGGGATGATGTGCCAGCTGCTGTCTGGGTTCGCTGGGCGTCCTCCGAGGGCCTCGCCATCTATCATCTCAATATGGCGATGTGAGGCCGTTTGTGTTGTGTTAATTTCCGCCAATAAATCAGTAATTATTGCAATCCTGTCCCTGCTGTTTACCCTGCAGCTGTTTTTCCATTTGTCGAGAGAACGGGTGTTCTCCGAGGACCGCACACGCTTCTACGGCGCCGAGATCGTTTCTGCCCTCGACTACCTGCACTCTGCCAAGATTGTGTACCGGGATCTGAAGGTAAACAGAAAAAGGGGAAAGAATTCATATATTTAGAGAGAAGGTTTTGTTTTGTCACAATGCCTTTATCTAAGTGTATGTCATGGGACGTGGAAAATGTAATTAAAAGCTCTAGAGTTTGTGGCTTTTTTCTTTGGTTTTTGGAAACATCAAACTCTGGTGGCTGTGGATGATGACACAGTGTTTTGCTCGCAGCCTTGGACCAAGTCAGTTGTGGAAGTGCCAAGAAACTTGGACAAACAGCTTAGCCATTAAAATTAAAAGGTTAAATTAATGTGGCTTGAAGTTTCTTTCCACTTACATGGAATAAATATATTATCCATGTAGTAGTCTACTTTTTATACACTTTTTTAAAAAGACATTATTAAACATCATGAATTAAGGATACTAGTACACTTTAGGCACAAGTACTAACACAAGAAGGTACTATTACAAGTATTTTTATTTTTTGGAATTTATGTTATTAATCATGAAGTCAACACGTGTAAAAGCCATACAGTATGTGTTCGTTGTATTATTAAGATGCTTTAATGAAAAAGGAAGGAAAATACACCTTTATGTCAGTCATAAATTAATTCAAGCTTTCTATAAATGAAATGGATCCAATCAATTCAAAGTGCTAATTTGACGCAGATTTGAAAAGAGCTAAGCTTTGTTAACTACCAAGTTCTGTGTTTGTTGTTTTCAAAAAGTCAGCAAATCCACACTCTTTTCTTTTCTGCCCAGTTGGAGAACTTAATGCTTGATAAAGATGGACACATCAAAATTACAGACTTTGGCCTCTGCAAGGAAGGAATCACTGATGCTGCTACCATGAAGACCTTCTGTGGGACGCCAGAGTATCTGGCACCAGAGGTAAAGAAACCCCTCATGATTAACAAAACCCACAACTATTCCAAAAACTAGGTAAACAATGGAGCATATGCAGGAAACCATGAACAAATTTATGATTTCAGATCATATCATGAGAGTCTAGTTATGGCTTGAATGATTAAATAGTCCCATTCAAATATTTAGTTTTAGCTGTCATGACACGGAGTGCTGTGCATGCAAGTTTATAGTAATATTTTGCAATACAAGCTTAATCTCTTGCTTTCTATGTGATTTAGAGCAAAAAAAAACAAAAAACTGCTCTCATAGCGATAATAATCAAGCTCTTAAACTACTGTGATACTGAATTAAGATGTGGCTTGCACAGCTTGTTTGGTTCAAAGATACAGTAATGATCAGACACTTCCTACAGTACACTGAACTGTACATCAGTAAACTGTTCAAAATCTAGAAGCTTCTAATTTCTGTGAAGCCTCCATAAAATACATTATTACTATTCTATTCATACTAATGTAATACAATCTGTTGTATGTTCTTACAAATAATTGTATTAAACAGTGATTACAAGTAATTGTTATCACTGTTTAATATGTTGCAATACTTGTCATATAAGTCTGGTTATGATTATTTCGAAGATTGAACTGATTAAAAATATATTACAAATAAATAAATAATAAAAATGCTGTAAATAAAATATTATGAATGAATATAAATACATCTGTTATGCTCACCAAGGCTGCATTTATTTGATAAAAAAATACAGAAAAAACAGTAAAATTGTGAAATATTACAATTTTAAATAACTGTTTACTATTTTGATATAATATAAAAAGTAATTTATTCCTGTTATTCCCCAGAGCCGAATTTTCATCGCCATTACTCCAGTCTTCAGAGTTGCATGATCCTTCAGAAATTATTCTAATTTGGTGTTCAAGAAAATTGTATTTTCTTATACACACAGATCATGTCTTTCTAAGTAGCAAAAATAAATATCACTTTTATTTTCCTTGAACAGTAGTTTGCTGTCCAACCAGAGGTGTACATGGTGACCAGATTGCAGTGGCTAAATCCATATTTATAGACAGGAGGGGGCGCGGGGTGGGGGGGGTATAGATTCCACTTCGAAAAAGTACGGAAGACAATTTGGCGCAACATTTTGTTTTGCTCAGCCTGGCCGCTGTGCCAGGAGATGATTTGAGTGTTGGTTATTTTTCACAAGAGTATGTGATTGCACAAAAAAGTACATGCTAAACAGAGGCAGATGGTGGCAGATGGGGAAGGTTGGAAGAAGGTGGCTGGGAAACCTGGAAATCTATGCTGCCGTACTGGTGTAAAAATAACAGAGCACAGCCTGAGCCAAGTTCTGGAGATGCAAAATGGAGGGGGATTAGAGAGAGAGAGAGAGAGAGAGAGAAAAAAAGAAGAGGGAGTGTGAAAGATATTTCAAGGAAAAAAAGATTTTCTTTTAGGGTTACAGAAGTGAAATTGGAATAGTTTCGCTTAAATTTGGCCCTCACCAAATGTTTTAAGTGTTAATGAGAATGAATGAAGATACATTTACAGAAATACTTCTCTAATAACAGTTCGCTTTCACAAGCTGTATGTCATCTGTCACTGAGTTCTGTCACATCTTTAGCATTTAGTAATTGCAGTGTTTCTACAGCATGTTTGCAACCAATAAAGCACATTATCACTGGTTTCCAGGTGTGATTCAGAGCACATTAGCTTTTTCTAAACGAGCCTCCAGGATGTGCGTTTGTCAGCATGCAGGCGTGGCTAGCGTTCGTCTTCTTGAAGGATGCGGACAGGTGCTTAGCAGCAGGTAAGCGTGCATACGGCGATCCGCGCGTGTTTACACTATGTGTGCATATATTTGAATGCACTTTGCACACCCCTATCTGTGTGCATGTGTGCAAGCGTCCTCGTGTAGCCCGGCCAAAGTGGGATAAGCTCATGGAGGCTGTCTGTTCTACTGCCCTGCTGGGGAACTGGGCTGGTGGAGCCACAGGCTCTCTGTCCCATCCCTCCCTGGCCAGCCTTGCCAAGGGCCCAGTCCTGGGAGCAGCAGCCCTGCCACATGGCTGTCCGAGCAGGGGCCTGTTCCTCCCCTGCGGCCGCTCCTCCTCGCCTGTGGCTCTGGAACAGGGAGACCCCAACTGGCTCTGTGTGCATTAATCGCATCCCCGCCTGCAGCCGAGCTGCTCACGTACACTCCCAGGACAAACAGCACAATCCGCCCATACGTGCCGCGCACACACATGAACGGTGTCCTCGTCCTCGCTTACGCTCCTGTTTGCTTCCAGAACACACAGTTCTGTCCAGTCCTAGATTTAGACATGCATAAACACACAAATTCTGTCCAAGTATATTGAGTACACTTTCGCTCACACTTATTAAAGCACCCTTAGCTGTGGTAAAATCGCTGTAATGCACATGAACATCTGCAAAAGATGCATTCGGTTTCTTTTTAAGAAACAATAATGTTTAGCTGTTCATTTTGGATGGCACTTAATGCATGTGAACTTCACTGTATGAAGCAGCTGCCATGGAAATATGATAAAAGATAACCATGTTGTGTAAATAATTAATTATTAGTTATAAATACAATAAATAATAATTCTGTCAAGTAATATAGTTCAAATCAACAATACAAAATGTACCATTCAGCACATTTAATATGACATTTATTTATTCATTCAAATAACATACACTCTCGTTTAAAATTTGGGATTGGTAAGTTTAAAAAAATTTTTTTTTAAAGTCTCTTATGCTCATCAAAGCTGCATTTATTTGATAAAAATACAGTAAAAAACATTAATATTGTAGAATAATATTAAAATGTTAAATAACTGTTTTCTATTTTAATATATTTTAAAATGTAATATATTCTAGTGACAGCAAAGCAGAATTTTTAGCAGCTGTTACTCCAGTTTTCAGTAGGCGCATTTCCATTACCCTTCAAATTGCGCAAATTGAAATTGCGAATTGAAAATACGTTTAATGGAAACGCAGACATTTCGCAATACTTTTTTATCGTCATTCAGAAAATATCGCCAAAGTTTTGCGCAAATCTGTAATGGAAACGCGCCTACTGGTCATTCAGAAATCATTCTAAGATGCTGATTTGGTACTTTTTTTTTTTATTATTATCAATGTTGATGCTACATAATATTTTTGTGGAAACTGATAAATTTGTTTCAGGATTCTTTGATAAATAGAATGTTTTTACCCTTCAAATTGTGCAAATTGAAATTGCGAATTGAAAATACGTTTAATGGAAACGCAGACATTTCGCAATACTTTTTTATCGTCATTCAGAAAATATCGCCAAAGTTTTGCGCAAATCTGTAATGGAAACGCGCCTACTGGTCATTCAGAAATCATTCTAAGATGCTGATTTGGTACTTTTTTTTTTATTATTATCAATGTTGATGCTACATAATATTTTTGTGGAAACTGATAAATTTGTTTCAGGATTCTTTGATAAATAGAATGTTTAAAAAAAAAAAACAGCATTTATTTGAAATAGATATCTTTTGTAACTTTATAAATGTCCTTATACTTAAGTAAAAATATAAAACACAGATCCCAAACTTCTGAACGTTAGTGTAGTTCAAAGCACACAATGTACCATTCAGATTTTCTCTGACATTTCCACGTGGAGTAGTCATATACACCCATCTCACTGTATGGAGGTTGTTAGCACTGTGTTCACACATGGACGTTCAAATTGTGCTCCCTAATCAGACAGAGTAATGAATGCTGCGGTTGACTTATGCAGGTCTGCCTGTTTTTAAAGATCAGAGAGGAGACATCATTATAACACCACTCTGAGCATATGCTTAACTGGCTCTGTGCCAGCCAGCCTTGTCATTAGTCAGACGTATTAATCACGACTCTCCTCTCTGAAGAGCTCTTCTACATTGCACACTAACTCCAGCCGCCTTGTTTCCACCACCTAGTCTTTAAGAGCCACCGGTAAGGTGTGTAGCATCCTCGGTAATTGGGGCCCGGGACGCTTGCCCAAAAGCATAGCTTTGATCCAACGTTATCAGGCTTTTAGGATTGTGCTTCCAGGTTCCAAATATATCCTGAGCTGGATCTTTGACCTGATACACCGGCGCAAAATGAATGTTTAGACGCTTTTATCAGTCTAGCACTGATGGGCAGGAGAGACGGAGCTGGCTCACGCTGATATGGGTTTGGTGATGAGAAGCTCTACAGTAAGAGTGTGTGAAGTGCTGCCATTATCAGCTACTGAATTCATATATTAGCACTGATATTCATAACTGCCATTCATTTAGGAACTCTTAGCTCTAATGACTCTTATGGAGATTAAATTGATTCAGTGTTAAGTTACACATAAGCAACTTATTTTGAAATACGTTTACCTAGCTTTTCTTCTGCATCATTCAGAATTGAATTGATAATGCCTTTTAAACTACAATTAAATTCCTGAATTTGATGTTTTTTTTTATTAATTAAAGGAACAATTTTTAACTAGAAAAGAGGTATTTGTCAAGGCAAACTTTGTTTGAAGTTTTGGGGAGAAAGCTTTTTGAAGGTTTATAGGCCTTATGAGGGGATAGAAAGACAGTCGGATGGTTTGCTGCCTTGCTCAAGGGTCTCACCTCAGTCGTGGTATTGAAAGTGGAAGAGAGCACTGTACATTCACTCCCCCCACCTGCCAGTACCGAGACTCGAACCCGCAACTTTTGGCTTATAAGTCCGACAGTCTTACCATTAGGCCATGGCTGCCCCACAAAATGATAATTTTTGGAAATGTCATCAGATTTGAATTTTGCATCCAGAGTCCCAGAATCTGAAGACTAATATATAAAGATGTTAAAAATGTGAAAATATTTGATGTCAGTAAGATTTTTTTAAAGAAATCTATACTTTTATTTGGTAAGAAGGACACAATGAATTGATCAAAAGTGATTATAATGATACAAAAGATTTCTATTTCAAATATATGCTATTTTTTTTAACTTTTTAATTAACAAAGGATTGTAAATATCATGGTATCAGGGATCCACAGAAATATTAAGCAGCACATTTTTTTAAACTGATAA